GACTGCCCCCAGGCTCGTGGGTTCAAAAGATCCTCCTCCCTCCTTCCCTTTAAGTAGCTGGGACTACAGGTAGGGAATGACAGGTGACGCGTATTAAGTTTTCTGTGTGCCAGCCACTATTCCAGCACATGCCATACATTTATGGAGCACAGGGCTGGGTAGCTAGCTCAGCGGTATAAGTGCCTTTCCGGCAAGCACAAGGTCCTGAGTTCAATCCCTGGTACCAAAACAACAACAAAACATTTATGGAACTCATCACTGCAATGACCCTGGAAGTCAGGGCCCATGTGAATGGAGGGGGGACTGACGTCCTTAGCCGTCAGACTAAGGGACGGGAGTGGCAGGGCTGGCATGGCTCCTACACTTCTCGCTTCAAAGACATGGTGCACACACCACAGGTGCCCTTGGCCACTACTGTGCACCCGATAATCCCGACCATGCCAGGAATGCCTGATCGTCCGTTTTCAGTGTTGGCTTTCTGCTGTGACCGTAGCCCTGGTGTGGCCAGCGCTGGGCCCTACGCACCCCTCTGGCTCCTGTTGCCTCCCTCCCTCTCTCTCTCTCTGATGCTCCCAAAGCCACTCATGTCACCCCATTCAGTCAGCTCCCTTGCATGCAGCTGCCAGCCTGGCATGGACTGCGCCGCTCACTGGTATTTTCTGATTTCCCAGGGGACAGATGGTTTCTCTCATCTCATAATTCTGGGCATTTGTACTGCTCAGACATTAGCAGTTTTTGTTGGTCTCTACATAGGACTGGCAGAATCTAAGCACAATCTCATTGTGCTTTCTGCTCAGGTTTCTTATATCAGAAAACACATTGAGCTGTCTGTCGGCGCTCACAAATGTGAAGGCGAGTCCTCGACTCCTGGCTTTGGCGTTGGCCTCTTCGCTGCCTGCTCCTCCACCTCCAAGGCATGAGAGAAGTGGTGGCTACGCTGATGAGAAAGAGTGCGAGGGCCTTATGCTCTGTTCACCTCTGAGAATTTCAAATGGGAGCAACGTAAGATGTAAAAGTGGCTGCTGAGGCAACTTCCATCTAAATATTTCAACTTGATTCAATTCACTCTCAGAGCTAAAATGCGCTGGCAGGCAGGGGGCAGGGAGAGAAGCCAACTGCAAAACGCTGTCCTCAAGGTGGCCAGGGGCTGTGGCAGCTGCCTACATGCTAGAGAATTCTGCTGGACAATCACAAGACTTCAGGGGGGCTCCCAAAGCCCGTTCTTCTAGGAGCAAAGCAGGGCACACCTCCCTCGCCCACCCCAGCAGTCACGGGGCAGCAGAGAACAGCACAGGACCAGGCCTGCAATTCTTGGGTCTGAATGTCAGTTCTGAAAAGGAGTTGAGTTCTGCCACTTCCTTGCTTTGTAGCCTGGGGCAGGTCATTGGCCAGGCCTCCCTACCCCAGAAGGTAGAGACATAAGCTACACCCCATTCTCCCTGGCCCCAGTGTCACTCACGAATACTTTGAAACGTTAATGCTCTTCCTGAGCACTGAGCATCACTGCCTGCTCCTATTTCTGCCAACATATTGATAAGGACTCGGTCAACATTACTCAACCTCATGCTTATTAAAGGACCATGATGTATTTATTAAAAGCTTTTCCTATCCACTACATATGCTTCCAATTACAGAAAGGTAGGGGAATTTTTTATGATGCTGTGTCATTATAGTACAGTACAGTCATTCGGCCATGATTAAAAATCCTGCTGAAAGGATCCTACCAAAAATAGCAGGGCTGGGAGCTTTAACCGTATCAGTCTCCCACGTGAATGAGTATGTGCCTGGAAAGAGCTTACAAGTGTACCCAGCCAGGGTGCTTGGACCTGCCAGCACCCTCTGCTCTGAGCTCGAGCCCACGACAGCTGGCCCTTGGTGGCTCCCAACCGGGGGCAGCCTTGATGTCTCCTGTCACCCTTTATTCTCCCCTCTGCAGGGCCCCTCTGTGTGCTTCAGGAGCACCCATGTGCATGGACCTGGCACTGGCTTACCTACTTGTCAAAGGCAGAGCGCCTGTCTTGCCATGCCTGTCTTTCTACCATGCCGACTTTAGTTACCACTTGCTATTTTGCTCTAGAAGCAGTTGAGGGAACCCTTTGGAGGGCTAGGGATGTGGAAGGGATGAGAAACCAACCCCAAGGATGTGCCTGCCCTGAGACTCAAAGCCTAGACCATTCCTAGTTCTTAGGTCATGGTTCCTGTCCTCAGAAGCCCACCGAGCATCTGAGAGGTGGCAGGATACAGTGGAGCACGTCGTGGGGGTCCAAGTGCAGGCTCCAGCCCCATCTGCAAACACAGCTCAGTTCTGTTTCAGACACACACCTGCCTCTCGGCCTCAGCTTCTCACTGGGAAACTGGACCCAGGCATAGGCTCTAACTGACAGTATCAGCTCTTGGCACTGGGAAGTCGCAAGGGGGACATCCCTATCCTCCTCATAGTCCAGCAAACTGACATCTCCTGAGTCCCACTGTGCAAACCATTGTGTTAATGAAGGAGGAGGAGTCACCAGGAACCTCGGCGCAGCCCCGCCTGGGCCAGGCAAGGGTGGCAGTGGTGATGTTGTGCTGACACATTCATCGAGGTCTCACTTCAACCCTGAAGGGAGGGATTGGCTCCCAGATCTCACACAAGGAACCTGAGCTCAGAGGGGTTCTGGACACCGGCTCAAGGGTACACAGCCAGCAATGGCACGGCCAGGACCTGAGCCCAGATCTGTTCTTCTAAGTTTACCTTCTGGGCTTTCTCTCTTGGAAGAAGACAGAAACCCGAATGGCTTCCGTCAGCAGCCACCCAGCAGCCACCCATCGAGGCCTTCTGGCTTACACCAGGAAGTGTGGCAGGGACACACACCGGTACACCTTGGTCATCGATGCATCTGACATTTCTACCTTGTGCCTTCTACCAAACAGCTGGAAAGGTGAGGGCAAAAGGAGCCCAAGGACTTCGGGACATTTATTAGATGTCAGTAGTGAAGGCAAGCGACGATGTGGAAGATGAGATTCTCAGAAGCTGGGTTCCCAGACCAGGTTAGGGGGGTAAGCCCACAGAGTGGCTGTCACAGTCTCACTAAATATGAGCATTAGGGACATGTCCTCTGCTACAAAAGAGGAAAGTGTAAAAGTAACAGGGAGAGAATCGCTGAATAAAGGCTAGCCATTCGCAAGAAAAGACAGTTACCACTCCCATGCAGACACACAAAGGCTGCTTTGTTCTGTTTCGCTTTTCGAACACAGTTCTTATTGACTAGAACAGTTTGTTATTTCACTGAGGTTCAGCAAAAAAGTGACATGTCACAGACCATAGGGAGAAGGGACAAAGGCAGGGATGGAAGCAAGGGGAGAAAGCTTGGAGAGTGAAGAGAATTCGTCCACTCATCTAGATTGCCAATTTCATTTGCTTTGTTCAACACCACATGATAAAGGCTGACTCACGTGGTACACCCACATGAACATAGCAAGTTTGGATGAAATGCCAAACCCTTTTGTCGAGACAGAAGCCTAACAGAAAGTTATAGCTATGGCAGCCGTCAGCTCTGCAGGAGCGGCTGTTTACCGAGATACCGGGTTACACAGCCTCCACCTGCTTCTTTCCCACTCAACAGAGCAGATCTGAATGGAAGGGACAAGGATGACACTAGCACAGACAGACTGGACTCAGCACTGATTTATATCTTAAAGACCTATTCTCGGTTGCTAACTGCCAGCAACATCTCACAACCAGTCAGGACCTCACTGTGAGTCATGCATGAATCTAGACAATTCCCTGGGATGGAGGGACTTCATCTCATCTCCTCTGCGTGGCCCAGGGCACAGAGTTGAGGGTCTGGCACACGGCAAAAGGCCCAAAATAAAACATCCAAACTGTAATTAAATTATATTTTATTTGTCCCTGGCAAGGAAGAGGACCTAGTAAAGCTATCCAACAATACTCAGTGAGCACTGATCCTGGGCCAGACACCAGGAGGGGCGTTTCACACACAGGGTCTTGTTTATCACCCCCAGTGACTGTCAGACAGGCCCTGTTACCCTTATTTTAATGATGTCCACACAGGCTGAGAAAAGAAAAGTGACTTTCCATTCTCCAGGTAAACAGCTCTGACAAAGCTGGGCAGGATTCAATCCCGCATATCTATGACTTCAGAGATGATGCCTTTCACCTGCTTTGTGCTAAGGAACAGGCCCTGTGTAAGGAGCTTACAGTTCAAATGGATCCCAACACAAGGACACAGGAGCTGTGCTAGCTAGCATCAAATGGGAAGTGTCAGACGGAGAGCACGAGGGAAGAGAATTCTGGAAGGGAATGGGGAAGAGGACATCAAGGGAAGCTTGGTGGCAGGAGCAGCATGGAATTAGGCCTTGAAAGATAAGTGGGAGTCCAGGCAGGCAGGCAGGCAGGCAGGCAGGCAGGCAGGCAGGCAGGCGAGGCAACATTCCAGATAGGAAGGTGCACAGTGTTCTCGAGGTAGAAAGCTCAACGCATCTTCTTGGAATGTCCAACAGTCCAATTTGGCTGGAGGATAGAATTTGGCCAAGGAAGGTCAAAGAAAGCTAGGTAAAAGGCTGGGTCTGGGTTGTAGAAATGCAAGAGGACTGGAAAACCCAGGCTTAAGTAGTTTTTTTTTTTTTGTTTTTGTTTTTTTTGTTTGTTTGTTTGGAATAGGAAGTCTGTGGAGCTTTCTTGGTGGTTGTTGGTGCAAGTGTATATTCTGGTGGACTGGGTTGATAGAAGAGACAAGGTACAGACAGCGATTGGGGAGCAAGGGTAAAGGCCCAGGTGACAGGCATTGAATACTTGAACCTAGGTGGTACCCCTAGGAAGGAAAGCATGTAGGCAGGGGAAACCAGGGAGAGCAGATGGGCAGAGAAGCAGGCCACTTTGACTTTAGAACTACTGAGTCTTAAGTTGCTGGTGAGGTGTGCAAATGGAGGTATTCAGTCAGAAGCAGAAAATCACTGTGTCTGCCAAGGACAGGAGGACAGCCATTAGGGCCCACGATCACATCACTCTATCAGTCACTTCTGGCCTCCTACCCTCACCCCAAAAAATACAGGCAAAAGATCAAAGCTGGAGATTCGGCTCTGAGGGTCAAGTAGAGAAATGACAGCTGACCAGAGGGAGATACTGTGGGGAAGAGAGAGACAAAGGAAGTAACGAACTATTGACTACAGACTTGTGAAGGCCTGCAAGTGGAAATTCAAATTAATTTGCCAGGTTCTTTGCGGTACACACAATTCCCATCACGGAGAGCACATCCATCCTCCGGAAAGCCAATGGTTGGGTCAAGGAATAACACCTTAGAGGGCCAGAATCAAAGAGGCCTTAGACATCACCCAAACCAACTTCTTTACAGGAGGGGTCACTGAGGCCCCAAAAGGGAAATAACCAGTCTGATGTCCCAGTACTCGCCAACTCTCTAAGCCAAGTGGTCGGGGCGGAGGCGAGGGCGACCGCCACTCAAGTCTCGGGAGGCGGGCTTACTATGCGAAGGTGGGGGTGCGAGGTACTGGGGGTGTCGGATCCGGGAAGATGTGGGAGGCACATAACTGGACAGGGCCTCGAGGAGCAGAGGAGGCCCTGCCGTCTCAAAGGCGAATCTATCACCTCGCAAGTCCCCAAGTAGGGTTAGTGGGGGGGAGGTCCTGGGACGGGAACAGCAGACTGGAGACTGAGGTGGGGCCTCGGCGGTGGGCGAGGCCTCACCCTCGCCGGGCTGCCTCCCGCCCTCCCTCCAGACCGGCCCTCCCCGCCTGGCTGCCCGCCGCGCCCCGGGGCCTCACCTGCTCCCGCGGGGGCCGGAGCCGGGGCTGAAGCCAGAGCACCCCCGCCAGGGTTGTCAAGAAGCAAACAAGAGTGTCTTAGCAACCAGCAAGGAAGTCCTGCCCCTCACCGGACGTTGACCAGAATTTTACTTATTATTGGTGACTAAAGGTGTCAATCAGTGTCCAAAGGACTTACGAGGTAGGCGTTTGCGCCGAAAGGGGCGTGGCTTAGAGGCTAGGGAGGCGGGCTTTCGCTTATAGTCGTCTTAAGCATGCCCGAAGAGCCAGGGGCAGACCGAAGTTCTTTGAGAGAAAAAACTTCAAAAAGTAGTATTGCCTTGGAGTTTTTTGTCGTTTGAAATAACAAATGCAATTTGTTGGTTTCGTGGCATCGAGCTTCTACTTTGTTGCGACCTCAAAACTGTAACCAGCGCTTATGTAAGGCTTTACAATTCAATTAATTTCTCACTTGATTCTCACCATACTTTTTAGATTAGAAGTATCTGCAGTCCCATCCGAGCTAAAGCGCAGGGAGGTTAACCAAATAAAGGAAAAATCAAGATAATGTCCCTGGAGAAGGAACCCGGTGCGCTCTTTCCACTACGCCACATTCAGCCACATCCCGCAAGGTCACCTAGTCGCTAGGAGACAGCTGTGCCACCACCTAACTTTAAAAATACTGTTGTCTAGAGGCTCCCTTTGATTCCTCTCGGGAGTACAATTACCTAAAAATATCAGCGCAGCTGGAGAGAAAGGGAAGGGATGAGCTAGCAGATTCCATTGGTTGGCTCGAGAGGTCAGTGGGATACTCCTTAGTGAAACCCATTGCTGCAGCTACAGGAAGCGCAGCTCTGCCAGGGTTCTGGTGATTGGTCCAAAGGCTTGTGAGTGACTCAGTGATTCCCCGTGTGAAGCAAGAATGAGGGAGAGCTACTGCCTGGCGTGTTTCTGGAAGCGTCACAGGGTCAGATTTGGCGTAAGGAAAGATCACTCGCTTAAGGATCTGGAATAGGCGGGAGGCAGGCTCAGTGAGTTTTCATTTAGAGATTTGGCAGCGTGAAGGATGTGAGGCCCCTCCCGTTCTCAGCTTGCTTCCCTGGCACGTTCTGAGGGCCGCCAGATTTCCCTAATCCTCTTCACCAGTTTTCTCCAAGAGATGAAGTTGGCCTTTGAGGGGGATGACGCTGTCACTCCCGCCTCTGCCCAGGCTTCTGCCAGCAGGGGTCCACATTTGCTGCCTTCTCTTGTTCGCGTCGTGTTTGGTTTAGCAGCCTACTGCAATCTGGCGTCCACTCCCACAAAGCCACCAAAATTCTCTCTTTCGTGGTTACTAGTGACCTCTTGAGGAGCGAAATTCGATAGAACCTTTTTCCTTTCCTTTTTCTTTTTGACGGAACCGGGGATTGAACTCTGCCCTTGCGCTTGCCAGGGAAGCGCTTATTCTACTGAGCCATCACTCTGGCCCCCGATAGAACCTTTTCGTCTTTTTTTTTTTTTTTTTTTTTTTTTTTTTTTTTTTTTTTTTTTTTTTTTTTTTTTTTTTCTACAAGCATGTTAGGCAAACACTGCACTACTGAGCCCACCCTAGCCCCATCACTGCAGTCTTTATCTTAAGGGATCCATGCTCTCTGGTGGCTGAGCCTGCTGACCATACCCGTCTTACCAGATGCAGCACCTGGACAGCGTTTTGCAATGCAGGTTCCAGGCTCCCCCTGCATCAGAATGATGAGCGACAGGAACGTGATTTTTCACAATCCCCCTGTGGACACTCAATCCTAATATCGGGGCTCCTTGTGCTTCTGCATTTCCACTCTTCATTTTGGCCCCCTTCTTAGTCTCCTTTCTTTGCTCTCTGTGTCTAACTTGACCTTCTTTTCTACTTACTATGACTGAATTTCTTGCTTTGTTAAGTCACCTCCTCCTCAGTAGCAGTGTTTTCCTCGACCACATTCCTGAGGGTGCTTACTAGAGTCCTGGGAGGAGTGTTTGCTCCGGAAAAGCCCCCGGTGTTCCGGAATATTCCCAGGGAATAATGCCCCCTGTGCCTTCTTGAGACAGTCCTTGGGGATCTCATCCACTCCCGGGGTTTCCATCGTCAGTGTCTTCTGTGTTTTTCTCCTCAGATGCAAAAATCCAAAGGCTCCTGGTCATCACAGCAGGATGTCCTGCCAGGCCTTCAAACGCAGTGTGTTCCAAGCTGAATCATTTTCTCCCTCCAGCCTGTTCTCCTGGCATCCCACATCTCACACACTGTCATCACTGGCCACTCCCCAGGAACCAGGGAGTAACACTACCATCACTCACCTCCAGGCTAGGGATAGCCTGTGGGTTCTGACTCCTAACCAGCTCTCCATACAGCTCCTCCTGGCTGCTGCGCCTACGCACAACAGCAGTATCCTCCTCTGTCACTCCAACAACTCCCCAGTGGCCCCCCTGCAGGCCTGCCATTTTCTAATCCACCTCTAGACCATAATCAGTGGGGTCTTTCTAAAGCCCAGATCCCCCCCCCCTCCCGCATTCATTTCCTTCCATCCACCATAGTTGCCTGTCACCTGCCAGGTGACTTTCACATGCCATCATGTGGCATTCAAAGTTCTTTGTGTGGCTGTGGGCTTCTTGATGTTCCAGCCCCTCTACACCAACCTTCCTGGCTCCCTGCTTCCCGAGGCTGTTTCTCACCTCCCTGCCTCTTCTTACCAGTTCTTCCTGCTCAAATTCTTGCCACCGTTTCTTTCCTGCTCTCAGTTATCTGAATCCATAAACTTTTGGCCTACACATGTACACACTGGGTCCTTCCGTGCAGTGCTGAAAGAGGGCTTTGTGTCCCCACCCCGCCCTGAACAGGTTGCTATCACTGCCCATCTCCTCTGTTTCCTGTGGTTTCATTCTGTCTCATCCTGTGAATACCTTCACGGCAAGGACCTTGTGCTACTTGTCCCTCCATCCCATATCTCCTCCAGGACCCAACAGAGAGCCGATGTTCGATGCTCGGAGGACCCTTTATGCTTGGTCCAGATGTCCCAGTGGTGGGGAGTGT